CGTACATCTCCATCGAATTTGGGTAGTTCTAATAAAGGCATCTTGAGATTCTTTTTCTTAATTTCTGACCTCACAAAACGCTCATTCTCGTTAGAACATACACTAGAAATATGGTTTTCTGTGTGCGACGCACTGTGGCTCCTCAACTCGTACTTTGCACGTATTTCTGCCCACTTCGTTCTGTACTCCAAAGCTTTATCTTGATCATCTTGGAATGATTTTTCATCAAAAGACTCACTTTGGTAAAATGCTTCTGATAGTTGCTCTTCAACGTTCTGTAACCTTTCCGATGCATCTCTTACTGCGATGAACGTAGTTTCTATGCTGAGAGCATGTTCCGGTACGGTGAGTGCTTCTTCGAAATTTTTCACTGTGGTTGAAAATTCACGCCGGAGTTGCGTCCTTTTGCGTTTTAAGACTTCCATAATTGATTTTTATTAAACGGTCGCCACTAATATCACGGAATTCGGGGAATTATGTGAGGCTAAAGTAAACGCCACGGCCATTTAAACGCAACTGTTTATTGGTAACTCCTAGCAACAAAACAAAAGTACAATCTGTTCAAAATTATTATATTTTATCAATTTTGCATTCACAATGCTATTCTGGAAAATATTCTTAATTCTAACAAAAACATATTCTCCATTCATTATAGCATTAGACAGAAATTAAATAAGGTTGTTTTTATGGAATACTTTGTGATAAAATATCAATAATCTTGTTACTCTTAAGACTGACGGCTAATTTGCTACATATCCACTTAAATACCAACTGCTATACTTAACTGTTCTCATTTAAGCTATCTATTAAACAAATTTATGAGTAATTGACCAACTTAAATGATTAAATAACTATTACAATAAAAAGTGTGCATCTTAAAGAACCTAAAGAAGCAGGGTTGGATAGTTTCGGCAGGATTCTCATGTCACTATAACGCTACCAAATTTAAAACGCCTCATCCCTTCAAACGTTTCGGCAGTACAGTTTTTTTAATTCTGTCAGACTATAATGTATTCATAATTGTTAAAATACGTAATCTGGGATTGTCATCCGATGTGAATGCTACTGCCTTTCTTGTTGTTTTGCCGTTTTCCGTGATTAAGTTGTTATTGTTTTATTTTTATTTTGTTTTATTTTTATTTTTTTTAGTTTTGTTTTTGTTGTTAAGTTAAGTTTTGTTGAATATCGACTATGCCGGTGCAGGCCCGAGTGGCCTATAACAATTAAGCTTTAATCCCCCATACCTACCTTCAACTTTAACACTAACATTTCAGGAAGTTTTTCTAATGTCTTCATCTATAGTCTAACTAATATCTGAATAAATGTTATAATAACAAATTCATTTCTCTCCTAGGCAAAGATATAACTAAATTCTATTCTAATTATATGCACTTAAAATTAGAATTTGTCAAAACAACGGATATATAGTTTTAGTTCCATATTGGCTTGAGAGTGAAAGATGAATTAAGTAAATGCTGGCCTCATCACAACCCCGAGGTATTGTAAAAAATGGAAAATTGCCCAGCTCTTTCAGACTACCTAATATTCAAAGTTTCAACAAAACTATAATATATATTTTTTAAATTCATCTTTTAAATAAAATTATCTGCACTGCTGCTTCTATGACCCTCTTTTTTCTAATGTTATAATGAATGGAGTATAGGCTATTACAAGCACTTGTGAAAGTCGAGAATAAAGACAATGCGATGACCCAAACCTAACCCGAAGCTCAAAGAGATGAACATATATTTGAAACCAGGTACAGTTTAGCCGAAAACACAAAACGAGTAAAACAAATGGAAGATTTTATCGAACCCACAAAAAGGGTACTGGATACTGGCAAGTGTGTTACGTGCGTGACAGACATTAAAGTGCCGATAAGCTCCAATGAGACCTATTTATGTATAGTAAAGGTGACCAATTCTTTTTTGTTCGAAGTAGAACAAATAATGGAATTCATCTTTAAAAAAAATATACCTATATCAATAGGGATGATGACTGGGTAAAAAAAGAAATTCTATTTAGTTCGTCAGTCAGATAATAGAAAAATATTAGATACGTATTTCTTTTTTACTTCGATTTTACAAGAAGTAGGTTAGATATCGGGCATTAAAGTTAAGGAGTGGGGGCTCGCTACGTCACAGTTTTGTAGAAAATGTGCTAAAGTGGAACGTCACGCGACATTTTAACTCAATGTATCGCCATAATTTAATGATTACGAAAATCATAAAAATACGTGTTTATTTTTTTTCAAAAATCTACCTGACGGACAAACAAAGAAAAAATGGTCGTCATCCCTATCCCAGGTGCCTGAGACGTGACTGGGGAATTGATTGATTGATAAAAAAAAATTATCAATTTATTTAAAGACATATGATAAATATATTAATAAATTCACACAACGACATTTCTAAATAAATACCATAATATTGTAATTAGTTGTAATGTAAATGTACTAGTTTTCAAGTAGGAATGGAATTTTGAATCAGAAGGTTTTTTTTCCAATAATCAAAATTTTTTTATTATTAAGATTGGAGTGGGGACAATTTCAGCCTTTTGCCGCTCGTACGTCCATTTATATTTTAATACATAATCAAAACTGCAATAAGCTGAGCATTTTATGCTACAAGCATTCTTTACCTTTTTACGATTGACACCGTAAAAAGTCATACTAATTCATTTTAAAACAATTTCAGTTCCCACTATATAATTTCTCAAACTATTTGTACTCGTATAATACAATGTTTGTCACTTTTTTAAAACAAATTCAGTTCCCACTATATAATTTCTCAAACTAATTGTATAATACAATGTTTGTCACTTGTTCATACCCAATTCGTTAGAAGAAAAACGTTTTATATTAATATGATAGAGTTCAAGAGTACCTAACGTTCTGGTGTTCCCGAATAACTAAATAACTTTTAACTATAACTATTATTACTTATTTTTGTTATCAATAATTATTCAATTTATTTACATTGATAAATTATTTTGGTCTCTTTTCAAAACAAGTTTATATTCGTTCTAGTTGAGAACAACAGAATAAACAATTCTATCGATGCTATTTTATTGCTCTCGTACTATTCTCCCAGGAGCATATTTCCCCCAAGAGCAAGAGCATATATCCAAATAGTTCTACCGTACTATTCAAACACCCTTACATAAAAAGATACCTAGGTAGATAGATAGTTAATGAAACCCATCTCGGGCTACCTAGGATTGGTGATGTTTTCTGCATTTTCTTTTCTGCATTATCAAAATTGCATTGAACACATACATTTATGACATTGAGAATACAGAATTATTTCCAATGAAAACTTCTTAAAAACTTCCACTGGCATTCTGAGATGGGTCTCGAAACGATGACCTATCACAATTTAGGTGACTACTCTAACCACTGAGCTACTCAGGACCTAAAAGGACTGACGAATTTTTCAAGCCCTTGTTACTTTTCGCTCCTACAGAGCATATTTTCATCAATGTTCAGGTAATCCACCCAGACAGTCGAAATAAATATTTTTACAAATACTTAAACTTCTGATATATATGAAAATTTGGTCTAATTTATTTGATCAATTTTGCATTAAAAAATCCACTTTGTCTCTGGCATATTTTTTAAGCATTTTCCATGGGAATAATTTTCAGTATGGCATTATAATGCAAAATTAATCAAATATCATATTATTTAATACGTTAAATTTTGATAGTTTCGATGAATACTTGGACATGTATATACTAGCTATTGCCCGCGACTTGGCACCGCACGGCAGGGCACGGCTTCCGCACTCGACTGGCTCTCCTTATTTGTTTTCATGCTTAGAAGAAGTCCTTTGCCCAGTACCCAGTGGGAATATTAATAGTCTGGATAGGTCTGAACGATGAAGATAATGATATGTAGCCTCTGGCAGAAATATTTCAGAAACCTAAATGAACTAACTAGGACTATCCCATTCAAAACATCACATTATGGTCACAGTTTCTTTAGTGAAACAACATACTATTTGCGTTACAAAATACCTTTTCACACCATTCAAACCTTTTATCAGTAAGTTTCCGTTCTATTATTTCACTCATGCCTATGAAATGGAGAAAATATGAATAGCTTTTAATGTACCCTTAATTAAACTGCAGTGGTCCAAGTCATCTATATTTTGTATTAAATCGGGTCTGGGTTTACTAATTAAAATCATTTGAATATGATCATGAATTATCGATAGATTTTTTTAAATATAGAATTTAATTTTTCTTTCATTATGTACACCTCTAATAATAATGATAATTTAAGAATTGTACTCTTGGCGCACATAAATACGCCACTCGGTTATTGATATTTTTTTCCTGTAATTGAGGCAATAAATCCGGCCTATCTGAACCCAAAAAAATACATTAATTCGAGATTATATACTAAACCACATCAATGCCTAGTAGGGCCTTGTTATCACAGACAAATACATGAATAACGCAAACTATTAAAATTATTGTTTCTTTATGGCCCATTCTTCATATTCGGTTCAATCATTAGGCAAAGCGTGGGGACATTGACGATGATGGAATAATGTTAAACAAACTCAAATTAAAAATGTTCTTAATGAAAACTGATTAAAAATCCACTTCGTCCCTTGCCCTCTGAGATGGGACACGAACCCACGACCTTTCGCAATTCGGGCGACTGCTCTAACCACTAAGTTACCCAGGACCTAAAAAGACTGTCGAATTTATTAAGTATCAAAAAAATTAACATAAATATTTATTTAAACTTCAACTATACTTACATCCCAGGGGGGATAATAAGTAAAATATTTAGAGACTTTTTATTTAGTTACATACAAACATTGTCCTCATATCATCTCAGAATGTAGCTATGGTTAAAATATTACCGGTGGGACCAGAAATGTTTGGGGTGCGAAATACTATAACATGCCAATTCGTGATTGAATGAGTGAGAAAAGTTTTGGTTATTATATTTTATTAAATACATTAAAATTAATATAAATGTGTACACTTGTATATATGCTGGAATTTTTAATTATTACACATATTTTTATCCTATATTAAAATCTCTAGAGAGGTCTTTTTATTTTTCGAAAATAAACACATAAAGTAGATTAAAAGCGAATAATACACAATGCTTCTGATGACATTAAGAGTACATATTGTGCATTGACAAAATCTTTAAAATATTTATTTGATTGAAAAAAGAAAGCTAAAACTTCACTGTTTAAGAGAGCTGACATCTTGCATCCACTGAGGCCAAGACCTAATCTTATTGTAGAGCTTCCTGCCTGGAGACTCGGTGGCGATGAGCTGTTTATGTCCAACCACGTGGTAATCGGCGATCAAGTGGCCCTTGTCCACGCCACATTTGATGAGTGCCTTTACAGCGTCCAACTGCTCGGTTGTGGGTGTGTCATCTGGTAAAAACAATGGAATTCTATTTACCATTCTGACCGTAAATCGGATTTCAGAGATGGCGACATCTTACAGTGTGCGAGCCACTCGGCTAAAACATTCGCGATTAATGTATTCTCGGTGAAACAACCAATTATTTACGCACACTTATATATATACTAGCTTTCTCCAACGGCTTCGCCTGCGTGATCCCTAGGGAAATGTTTAGTGTGATAAAAAATTGTCTAAGTCATCTAATACCTATCTGTATACCAAATTTCATCAAAATTCGCCCAGTAGTTTCAGCGTGATTGATGGACAAACATCCAAACAAAGAAATTTTCATATTTATAATATTGATAGGATTGTCTCACAGGTCACAAAGCAGCAGTATTGTCAGACGAAATTTTCTGTGAGAAAACTGGAGATTATAGAGACATCGGCACTTTTCAAAATTTTATGTTTAGAATTAATATAATTAATGTTATTCATTCAAAATCTTCAAAACACATATGAATCAATTGCCGTTCATCTGTCTCGCTAAAATTCAAGAACGGCTGGGCTGATTTAGCTGATTTTGATATTGAAACATTGCAAAGAATAATCTAATCCTCACACAGTTTGTGCAAAATTTGCGCAAGTTTAGCGTTATTTTTTTTATGAACAGCATGTCTAGTAATGTACTTAGAAGTCTTTGTATATAAATTACAAAATACCATTTCATACTATTAAAACCCTTTTATCAGTAGGTTTCCGTTTTATTATTTTTCTTGTATCAGTGTCAAAATAAATAAACACGAAAAGCAATTAAAATGCAGTATTACAATACAATTTCAAATCGGGGCTGATGTTTACTTATTTAAATGAATTGTGGCTTAATTATGGATGGGAAATATATTTATGTACTTTCCTCGCATCGGCCGGCTGCAAAGAGCCGGCCGATGCGAGGCAAATAAGCAAGCGGAAATTAGTTCCATTTTAGTTTTTTTCTTATTATGTAACTAGCTTTCCACCAGTGTATTCACCTGTCCTGTATTATTTAATTAAATCGTCCTCTTTAATAACTCTATATATTTACGAAAACGGATTTAAATTCCGTTGTGTAGTTTAAAACATATCAGCTTACAGACAGCGAGAAGCGACTTTTTTTTATATTATGAATAGATAGATAATAATCTCAATCTTCTTTTGGAATGATTTTTTTTTTCTGTAATATGAATATCTTTGGGGCGACCAATTCGGCATGTCTGAACCTCCAAATACGCATCTGGCTAAGATGGATGAACAACATTAATTCGACATGTTATACTGAACCACACCGATGCCTGGTAAAGCCTGCTAGTTAAATTATAAATTTTATTATAACAACAAACATCCCGTTATCGCAGACAAATACATGAATCACGTAGACTTTGTAAATTATTATTACCTTATTACAAAGGATAAGCTAAAAATAATCAAATCATAATATATTATTATTACTTATCGTATCCTGTTTATGTAAATGAATACCTACCGATATTAACAACTTGTTTTATTAATAATAATTTCAGAATGTATTAAAGAAAACAAAATTTCTAATACCTATTATACTACCTATAGCATATTTCGTATATTCCTCGCAACACATGAAATATAAATAATAAATTGCCTCGAAATTTATAGAAAAAAAGATATATTTTCAGACATAAAAATGACTTTATAACAATTTTTTTTCTTAAAACGCAGAAGGCATTACGAAGATCAGCTTGAATAAGTAAAATATTTTACTTTTTATAAAAATAATAGCGACAGCTTCTTAAATATGTATTTGATTGGTAAGATGCTGAACAGAGATTTTTTCAATTTTTTAGAAATAAAAGCTTGTTCGCTTGCTTGTTGTTATTGTACACAAGAAAAATACATAACAATTAGCTATAGAAGTATTAATAGTACAATGGGCGGGCTTATCGCAAGTAGTTATTATTATTATTTTTGAGCTATCTGCCTTATATCTAGCGACCTCCGTAGACGAGTGACTCTGATCTTCGTTTGACGGTTAAAGAAAATGGACTTTTCTATATTATTACGGGTCTGGGTTTTATAGTAACTTCGTTGCCTCAGATACTCTATATAAGCATAATATTTAGCTACTCGTGTTGGAATCTGAGCAATATATGTGATGTTGTCTATATATAATTTATACGAGGGTCAAACTGAAAGTTCTTAGAACTGGCCACTTATAAACAATATAATAAAAAAATAATTCTAAAATTTGAAAATATAACTCTTTGCCAATATTACTGAGTATATATTTCATTAATTTGTCATTTGTTTTACGATTTGGCGGCAAATTGAAAATTGTCTGTGTCACGTCATCATGAATTTAACACGAGAAAATTTTCGTGCAATGATTTTTTATGACTTTCGATGTCATTTAAGTCAATAAGAAAGTTATGATAGACTACGATTGGCCTTTCACGATGAAGCCCCATCTCGTGCGACTGTTTACAACTGGTTTAATGAGTTTAAACGTGGTCGCACTAATCTCACTGATGATTTACGTGAGGGACGGCCTTCTACGGCGACGACTGAAGATAACATCTGTGTTGTGCGGCGTATGATAGAGACTGACAAAAGAGTGACCTATCAACAGATTCGGACAAGCTTAGGCATCGGTATGAGTCAAGTGCACAAAATCCTCCACGAACATTTAGCGGTCAGGAAGCTTTGCGCCCGGTGAATACCTCATAATTTGACTGAGGCTCAAAAACTCCATCGTGTGGATTGGTGTCGTAAAATGATTGAAAGATTTAACGGAGGTGACTCAAATGCTGTGTTCGACATACTAACAGGTGACGAAAGCTGGATTTACTGTTATGATCCTAAAACCAAAAGACAATCTGCTCAGTGGGTGTTTCCTTTCGAGGAGTTGCCAACTAAAGTGAAGAGAGATCGAAGTGCGGGAAAAAAAATGGTGGCCTCGTTCTTTGGAAGGATAGGTCATTTTGCAACAATTGTGTTAGAGGATCAAAAAACAGTTTCTGCAGAATGGTACACTACCAATTGTTTGCCACTTGTCTTGGAAAAAGTTCGAGAGAAACGACCTCGCAGTAGGATCCTCCTTCACCACGACAACGCCTCGTCGCACACCGCCAAGCGAACGATCGACTATTTGGCGACATCAAACGTTGAATTACTGGGTCACCCGCCGTATAGCCCCGACCTCGCGCCTTGTGATTTTTATTTATTTCCAAAAATTAAAGAAAAACTTAAAGGAAAGCGGTTTATGAATGCTGAAGAAGCGGTGGCTGCGTATCGCGATGCCATTGAAGAGACCCCTAAGGACGAGTGGGCAAAGTGCTTTTCCCAGTGGTTCCATCGCATGCAGCGGTGTATTGACGTGAATGGACAATATTTTGAAAAGATATAATAAAACTAATAACTGGCTAATGTAATCAGTTTTTGATTTTCTAAGAACTTTCAGTTTGACCCTCGTATCTCCTTAAAAATTTAGTTGCAAGATGTGGTGAACATCGACCTGTGATTGTCATTTGAATTTTATAAAATTATCTGCTTCTTTGGTGTTCATTGTTCTACAAAATATACTGCTAGTTTTTGAACAATCTTATTTTATATAATCTGCAAACTGCAAACCTTCCAAAGCGATGCTTCCATGGAGAGCTTGTATCGTTTTAGATTTACCTTTACTGTTTAAAAGAACATGGAATTCATTTAAAAATCTAACAATAAAAATTGTAATAGACATGGTATGGTAAAACTTTTTGTGCAGCTTTTCGTTACTAAGAGAATTCGTGATAAGGTTAAACCTAAATATGCCAGAGATCTTCTTAAAAATACGTAAAAAGACATTAGTAAACGGTATTCAGACCGACGTTATTCTAACATAGTAGCTTCATAACCGAACTCCGTCGCCTGAGCAAATTTATTTGACACTGTCTGTTTTTCATTGAATTGAAGTTTATTAGAGGTAACAAAATTACTATGTCAATACAAATTGAATGAAACGTTAAATTAAACTATTTTTAGCCTAGCAGTTGCACAATCGACTTAGTAAAGTCTCGTGGAATTCTTCATGTCTAGTTTATTTATATATCTTTTACTAAACGCTAAAATGAGGGTAGAATGTAAACCGACTGCTCTAATCTACCCCAAATCTTTTGCTAACGCTGGAGAAATGCACATTATCATCATTAACAGCCGTATGACGCCCACTGTTGAACATAGATCTCCCCCGTTGACCTCCACGATGATAGGTCCTACGCTGCCCGCATCCAGTGGTTCCCGCAAAATTTATGGGGCACGACCTGGTGGGGGGCCTACTCACTAAGCGTCTTCCGGTACGCTGTTGACATTCTAAAACTTTTCCGACCCAAGGGCCATCGGTTATTCTAGCTATATGTACTGCCGTTTCAGCTGAGCAATTCTTCAAGCAATATTAATAATGAAACACCAAGCATTGCTATCTCCATTACCTGCTTGATGGGGTGACCTTGAGTCTTTTTATGAGACCCAAAGTGAACGACCACGATTGTCGGGACAATCGTTTCTCGGGAGAAATACACATTGTACCTCTGATTAGGGTTCTTCAGCCACTAAGGCAAAGGAGTTTATGTGTATCTATGCCCAAGGTTAGTTCACCTACCCGATTAACCTCGCTGTGGAATACCTTCACGTGAGAACGAGGACCCAAAATCCTGCAAGGAGGGATCCAGACTACCCGAAATCTTAACTAAACTGTTAAACTGAAAACTCGTTACTTTCGCTAACAGCATATTGAGGCAATCTGCCTACCCAGCCAATCAATGTTTCTAAGTTTCAATAATAATATGGAATTCTTAAAACATTGACAAGCATAAATAAGTTATTTTTTAATTAAATTAATATATACCTAGAAAGTTAATACATACTGTTGTAATTTCCAATGAAAGATATTCCAATAGAGCGGGAATTATATCCTCGCGTATGAGCTCCTACGTGGAGCCAGCCAACGCCTTCGTAGATTTTGCCATTGCCGCCGACGTAAAAACTGAAATTAAAATTGGTGACGTTTGTAAGACTAACAAATATAAGCAACATTTTTTCTATGTTGTGTTTAAGTATATAATTACGTAATACTTGGAATCGGCTAACTTTACTGATTCTCAATATCGATAAAAATATTTGCCTTTCTAGATGCTCAAAAATTTTGAGAACAGGGCGACCATTTGCTTACTGCGGCTCCATACTAAAATATTCCAAGCTATTTATGAATTCAACCCCTGATATTTTAAATGTAAAAATATGTTTGTATAATCATTATTCACAGAAACTATTTAAATGGAGCGACAGATTAACTGAAACTTTAAAGGAAATAATCTATTATATAAATACTATTTTCTGGCTCTCGTTGTTTATAGCATATAAGAATGATCAATGAATGAACAATTTTCACACAGAAGTAAATACATGTACTATACATATATATCACGCTAACCTAAAAGTAATAAGTCTATACTAATATTATAAAGAGTTAAAGCTTCTGACTTTGTTTTATTGTAGGGAGTATCTTTGGAAATCTCCTCCAATTATGATAATCATCTACGGGAAGCTTATCAGGCGAAGTCACGAAAAAACGGCTAGTAGATATATGAGAATGAAGTAATAGACAAAATGTTAGTCCAGGAAGAAGAATCCAGCCCGAGGAAATATTCTTTCATTAGTTACACAAAAGAGATCCGTAATTGCGCGCGTCTGATATGCACGAGTTCTACAATTTAATTGCTCTGACAAAAATTAAATTGACTACGAACTCACTAAAGATGATATGATATAGAATGTGTCGAGGCAGTTGAATTCCCATGTCTAGACAGGCGAAGCCACAGACAGAAGTTAGTGTTGTTACACAATTTCATAGAACGGCACTGCGTATTGTTTTCCTTTTAGATTAAAAATTTTATAGCAAGGTTTTTCCCTAAAGTTAACAATAGAATATTATAATTCCTTTGTAAGTAATAACGTGTTGGCTTTACATTTTGCCTTTGTTACTTTTTAGACTAACATGACTGTATGAATGCTGTATGACCACTTAGGTATTCAAATAAAGTATTTGTAGCACGTATAATACAGGTAATGACATTGTCAAATCGATACTTTGCGGCTCAGAAGGCGTAATCACCAAAACACAACTTTTCAGGAGAGTCAAGAAAACTGAAACCAAAACTTTGTATTTATGATAACTTTGCTGTGATTGATTTTATAAATATGTATACACCGATAGTCTTTGATTTGTATGGTACACAATATTAAATCATAACGCTTTAAGATAAAACGATTAAAAACTAAAATTAAAGGTATCGACATAGGTATTTAAACACACGATTTCGCTTTGTCATTCAATATCGGCATTTAGGCACATCAAAGAGATCTATTTCCAAATGTTTGCGTGCTTTTTTTTGTATAAAGCCCATTGAAAACTGTGAGCTCAAAGGAGTGGTTAAATCTTTGAACACATGTTTGAACATATAACAGATAGATACAAAAAAATCGTTGGTAAATATGTGAAATTACACCTATACCAGATATTTTACAAATTAGGTGTATTTATTAATTGCTATTTGATACAATTGTAATTAAAATATCATAACATATTTACGTTGGTTCATAAAGTTAATCTAAATTAAAAACTCTTTTAGTTTGAGAATTCTAAAAAAGATACAATATATGGCAGATATAAGCCCTATATATTGTAACTATACCTTGGTTCGGCGGTTGTACTATGAAAACTTTCGATTTTCAATATATCGTCAATTTCATCATCATGTATCCTACACGAAACATAAAATTTAGGCTTTAAGAGCCTTGCAATGCTCTTATGTAAAATTCGATTCAATTTGATTTAATCCATAGAGAAGGCTTGTTTCATTATGAAAGACATTAATAAGCTAGTGATGATTTTGATTCCGTAAAAAAAATCAGTGTTAAACCCAAATCGCGTACATCGCTGTCCTATGACAGCGATGTACGCATGGAGATTTAACCAATTAAAACCTACATCAAAAGGTAATAAAGGTTAAAAACAGCGGCGAATTCAACATAGACGTTGAATTCAACGCTGTGTTTTTAGAAAATAGTACCAGTTAGGTATTGTTGAAAATCTAAATGTGCCTCACTTGCTGCCAATGTCGTCCAAGTTCAATGTGTCCATATGGTAGTTCTGTATATTCCTGACCAGCTCTGCGCAGCGTGCGTCCGTCTTGCAGAAAGGTGAAACCGTGTGTTGGATTATCACAAGATCCACAGGCCTCGCCATGTAGTTGACTCGCACTGCTTCTAACCCATCCCAGTCCTTCTTAGTTACCACGTTGCAATCTGAAATATAGTTACATCAAAATAGGCAATAGTGATTCATCGGTTGCATCCTGGAATAGGTTTGAACTTATTGATAGTTAGACTCAGAATAGGGATGATAACTAATTTTTGTTTGTCTCTCCGTCGGGTAGATTATTGAAGAGTATTAAAAACGTATTTTATTTTGTGCGTAATCAATAAGTTACGGCGATAGACTTTTCTACATTTTCCACGTAACTATGACGTAGCGAGCCCTCACTCCTTAACTTTAATGCCCGGTATCTAAGCTTCTTCCTGTTAAATTTAAATAAAAAATAATATTTTTCTATTATCTCACTGACGGAGTAAATAGGATTTGTTCTCTTTTTCACAGAGTCGACATCCCTATTGTTCCCGACAACTTGACATTTTGGCGGAACTTTATCTACTTCTATGTGGCTTAACGTCTGGTTTCCATAATATATCAAACTAGCTGTTTTGCCGCGACTTCGCATGCATAAATTATAGCCTACGTCAAACCCCTAATAATGTGTGGAGAAATAATACATTAACATCTGTCCTACTGGACAGAAATAGGCTCCAAAATTACTGTTTTGGAGCCTATTCGATGCAAACAAGCAAACATAAAAACAAACAATAAAGTCTTTACTGTTTATAATTTTAGAACCTAAAGATTTCGCAATGGATTTTGATGAAGTTGGTAATCTTACCCGAATCAACTTTTAACTATACTAAAATTAAATTTTTTTATTACAGACTAGGTTGCTATTAATGACTTTGATTTTAAATAAAAAAAATAGCAACGATGACTTTAATTCCTTTTAAATTTAAATAATTCCCCATACGAAGTTATAATTACTGTCAATAATCAGTCATATTGGCGTAGATTTGAGATAAGGTCGGACATGTATGTAAACATTTAAGACGTAATATTTGGATAGCGATTACCACATTTAACCTTTTATAATAACTTTTCTTGACATGTCAGTTTTTGCTTGCATAAAACTCAATTACATTTAAAGTAATAATAATATAATAGAATAATTAAATATGGCAACACAACAAGGAAATGCTTGCCGATTTTCTGAAGCTTAACCCGGTAAACTATTTTATTCCTTGTAAAAAAAATTATAAATATTACTTATTCGGAATCATGCACTCGTGTATGTAATAGAAATGTAATATTATCACTCACCAGCTTTAATTGAATTCAATATACATGTTAATGCAGCAAATAAAGTTATAATAGTCTTCGCTCTCATAATTGCAAGCGTACAAGCCTCTCGACGGTCTGTGTTAAAGTAAATTTGATAGTTCAGCCAAGAATATAATCTTATGTCCTTTGAGCTTATTATGTCTTACTCTGTATTGCGATGTGCGAACGAGACGCAAATATTGCGAATTGACCGCATGATACAGACGAGGAATCCCCGTTACCCAACCGATAGTTACAACTATAAACAAACATACAATAACACGTTCGGCATTACGTCATTTAATTTTTTTTTTTATCTAGACCCTATCCGTCGAGTTTAAATAAAATAAATAGAAATATTTTCGACTAGATTTTTACAAACTTTTTAATCGACATACAAAAGTCGACAGAACTCGATCGCAGTATGTATATCGGCTTAACTACTATAACGTAATAAGATATAAATATTGACTGTCTATTTGATTTACACATTACTGGTGGAACAGGAGGTACTCTTATACAAACCTAGGAATCATATATATTGCCAAGGGAAAGTATGTAATGGATCATAATATTTCATACATTTCCTGAACACCACTTTACTGTTGTATAGAATACCTGAATTATACAGATAAAGACGGTAACATATACATTTTATGATATGCCATTTTATCGATGACATTATTACATAATTTTGACATTATGTAATTATACGGTTTCTGAAGAAATATTGGAATTTTTAATAAAAAAACATGATAAGTAGCCCTCTTTTGACAGTCCTTTATATTATGTGATCAAACGAATTTCCCTTAAGCGATGTTCGATCAATATATTTCAGTGCTTGGTTCGCGGTATACATTTACCATGTAGTTTCTCCGTGTTACTAGTCAACTAAACGCATTCAGAGCAGGTAGTTTGAAAAATGTTATAAACCAGAGCTGCTCCAAAAATATCAGTGTTATTTTTGAAATGATACCAGAAAAATACATCAAAAGTAATAACAATATTCTTGAAAAATTTTATAAAGTAGATAATTGTTGGGAAGTGTAATATATACTGTTCCATACCGAAACATATTATTTAGTTAGTTGGTTTTAATAATCATCATTATTTATTAAAGTAAGATTTTCACTTGTTATATTTAACAAAGACAAGTTTCCTAAGTAAATAAGAATTTAATCTTCTAAAATGAATCTCTAAAGATAAATCTAGCTTTCACGAAAATATAACTAATTATATTAATGAAAATATAACGAAATTTAAGCTTTTATCAGCCTCAGAATATTATTATTTCCATACTGATAATTGGTTTAGATTGTTCTTAAGTATAATTTTTTGGCGTTGACTCGTTTTATTTCAATATTCATATTAATTCAAATATTATTTTCACTATTAAGTTTTTATCGATTTCACTCTAGTAATTATCGAATAACAACAGTTCTACAGATAAATATCAATATAAGCAACTGCCAGTTGTAGTCAATGTTTTCATAGTATTTTTGTTATAACAAAAATAAATGTAACATTAATTAAAAAAAAACTTGTTCCCAATGAAAAATGCTTAAAAAATTCACTTTGTCCATGGCACCCCGAGATAGGACTCGAATCCACGACCTTGTATTTTCTTTATTTTTCGGGATAACATTGTGAATGAAAAATTTATCAAATATTATAAACTTCTTGTTGTTTCAAATAACCGTAAAACGCCTACTAGTATATTACCGGCAAAACAAATTATAATTATTATGAAAGTTTACCAATCAAAGAGTTCTAAGTTGACGTACAGAGACGGCATAAAGTGTAAACGATATCGGATCACTGCTTTCGACCTCGCTATACAAAGTGACTCAATCCCAAAATAAGTTGACAAAACTTTGCAAAATATAAATGTCCATTATTATGATATCCCTAAAACTTTCTTCACTAAATCTAATACAGATCTTATCATTATATTTTATCGATTTTGCATTAACTATGCTATACTGGAAAATATCCATAATAAAAAATGCTTAAAAATCCACTTTGTCCCTAGTACTCCATCTCAGAGTATTTTTCATTTAGAATAATATTGCCCTTTTCAAAAACTTCTCTTTTCATATGACTGCCAAAAACAGGACTATTGTGTTAAGGGTTAATGCATGTATATACTATATATGCATGTGATTTACTTTATTCGACCATAACATTATCAACCTTACAATATCCCGTGTAACACTATATATAAAAAAAAATGAAAGACATTTCTTTTTCTTGAATTATAGCAATATAGGTATTAAATTAAACATATTTAATTGCAGACATAATTAATTTGCTCACTAAAAGGAATAAAAACAAAAATAAATAATTTAAAAAATTATAAAACACGACTGTTGAAAATGAAAAAATACTATTTGTATCATGACTACAAAACGGTATCCCGACTGCTATGATAATTTTGTTTAGCCAAGCCATAACACCACAGGTTTTTTTTTTATTTTCAGTTCAATTTTAGCAGTCGTGTTTTTAATTATTGTGCTATTGGATGGCCTCGCGAAATGTGCAATGTCACATTAAAAGCTTTAGGTAGGTACTCCGCGATGTTTATTTAGAAGTCTTTAGTAGCAATTTCATTACTGTGATCATTATTTTGATTGCCTTAAAACGGATTATTCCATAAACACATCCTTTGTTATAACATAATGCTTTCATAAACCTATTTTCGTCACATTATTATAATAAAGTCTAGAAGATACGGACCGTCTCTTATGTTTTATTAAATATAATACAATATTCTCGGAAAATTTTAAGCTACTCTTATTTGTCTGAATAACATAGTCCAAATTGGTTACAACAATTGAACACAAATACTATTTAAACTGATTTTCACGAATTCGGCTGAATATTCTATCCGATTATATTTAGTAATTGGATAGGTATACAGATACAAGTATATTAATTGTAGTACGTACTAATATTTGTATTTATATTTCATACAATACATAGTATTAATCAAAGTCGCTTTCGTCTGTCTATATCTATGTATGCATTAGATCTTTAAAACTACGCATCGGATTTTAATCTGGTTTTTTAAGGGAAGGAGGGACGAAGGACAATTCAAAAGGAAGGTTTTTTAAATACTACAGGACCATGCGGGAAAAGCCGCCGGCGGAAAGCTAATAAAGAATAAGTCTAAAGAATAAGACTTGAAGAAAATATGCAATAAAATTATTCGTTTTTTCATCTCTACTTGGTACTTATAACTCGAAACCAAGTGAAGAAAATATATCTACATGACTAGCTGCTAAATAAGTCATCCACCTATTATATAACTGCGAGCTAAGTCGCAGGAAAACAGCTTGATAATGTTGTTAACAACAGCGGAGGGTCTACTTGTGTTCTTTATAAATAAATACTAGTTTTCCGCCAGCAGCTTCGCCTGAATAATATAATATGTATATGATAACTTGATGGTAGTTTTCCATAGTGAACCATTAAATGGGATAAATCCGATTATCAAACATCATCAAATTCCATTCGGTAGTTATTTTCTTGAAAAGTAACAAACACCCAAACCAAATTCTTTGTAAATATTAGTAATATTCCCTCATGCGGTTAGTATAGGTTGTCATCTCCTATATGTTGTTTACTTGCATTAATGTTCTTGCATCTGGTGAAGGTCGCGGGAAGCCACTGGATGCGGGAGGCGCAGGACCACAGAAATAAATCTAGTTAGAAGGAAAATGTTCGTCGATTTATATGGAGACCGAGCCTGCCACATTTTGTGTAGGTATCATGACGTCACGATCTTAATTTAGTGATGGAAGACATAATTTCACTTGCATCGAATACATGTTGTATTTGAAACGGCATACTAATTCTTATCGATTGAAAAAACGATATCGATCGACGGAGACCAACGTGTACAGTCTGTCTATAAAGTCATGAAAAGAATGTTTGAGGAACTAACATTAGACACAAGTATGACGACACTGAATCAAAGTACATCGACTGTCAACAACTTGATTTTTTAGCTCGATTTTCTGCATTTTTGATTTGTTTTGATTAAACTGAAGCTAGTTCTTCTAAACTCCGTAGAAAAGTGTTAAAAATGAAGAGAATTATTCGGAGTGAAGCTCAGGATATTATTTATAAAGTTTTTCAGTGATTTTATCATATTTGTAGGATGTTAAAGCTCGAACGGCAGTTATGACTGGTATGTAATCGTGTTACTGATTGAGTTTTTGTTACCAGAAGTTTCAAATTTACTAAATATATGAATTTAAGTCTAAAATAAATATTGTGTACATTATGCATTTGCCAAAACCGATCTGGATTTTAATTGTAGCCTAGAAGTCCTGCGTTAAATTCTGAAATAGATTGGGTTTTCTTACAAGGAGTGTCAAAGTAACAGGCTTTAATCGAACACAAGCATACATTGCAGTAAAACGAGAAAACAACTTGGCAATTATAAAAAAAAAAAGATTTATAAAAAATTACGATTACTATATTGTAATCTTCAATGTAGAATAAACTCATTGTCTACGAATTATACGCCTTTCTTTACCTTTTCTGGGGTAATAAAAGTAAAAAAAAATATCCGGTTTATTTTACTATAAATAAAGAAAATCCTACTATCAAAATCATTTGTCTCACTACACAGGGTTGCTACGTGCACGATCGCAGCGCCCTCAATTTTTTTCATGACTTTATAGACAGACTGTACCATTTTGCTTAAATATTATGTATATATCACGAACTCACGAATGTAATTTAGTGAATCGGCGCAAAAAAGATTTTATGCGATAGAATAGAAATCGGCATTTTTCTGTGGGCAAACACTTTGTAGCAGCCGCTACCCCCTCCCGACAAGCTACACATTTTTACGTCCTGTGATGTTATGTTATGTTTAGTCCTGTCACCCCAGCTCCTCCAGGAAGCCCGTAAGATCTCGAACTCTGCCGCATGCTTCCACTAGTATCATGGCGTGCATGGAGACTGAGGAGACAATCTCCTCAGTCTCCATGTACGCCCTGCACAGAGGACTGTTAGAATAACCCATGTTATATAGGTGTTTGTTTAAGTTTCCATGTCCAGTAAGTATAGCTACTATTTGCCTTAGAGTCCTGTTGCTTCAATCCATTTATTTTTAATATGAGGATCATACGGAAAACTAAAACAAAAATTACAGTATAATTCAATATAAAATTAATTATCATTTCTTCTGCTTTCAAAAACGATATTTTCTTAATCGGGTAAAAAAATCACATTGTACAGCACTATTCTCCATTTTTGACAGAAAAAATGATAATTTGTCCTCCAACAAATTGACCTTGAATTATAATCGATGGTTTTACAAGCAAAGCAAATTTGGACTGTCAAATTAAAGCCGCAATGGAAAGCTATTACTGGACACATGATCGTTTTGATAA